TATAGCAAATAATAAGTTATTGGTTGGAGTTTGATCACCAATTGGTTTACTTTATTGATTTCACTTTCTTTTATACCAAATTCTTACACTAACACTTACAAATTATTTACGAACTAGAATGTATACAAATATACTACTAATACCTACAAACTAACTACATAACTCTAAAATATGCTAAGTCAACATATGGTTGCAATAAATATATAAATATGTCAGTCGCATTGACAAACTGACGTTGTGGATCAGTTAGTCACTGCGACTGTCTTTGGCGGTGTCTTTGACCGTCCGCACAAGTGTAACAAGATCCTCGCTATGTGCGATGAATGCAGTCTTTGCATAAACTCCCGCTGAGTTCAATGTAACTGATTTGGGTAAACTGTTGTTTGTGTACATTCCTATTTGTTTATACATTACTTATGTGCACATGACAATTAAAGTAAAAAGGGCGATGTGCTTATGCTACAGTCCCTTAAACGCATTATGCGTAAAGAACAGTATCTGTTCATATTTCAACAAAATTTGCAAGATGTAGTCGAAAAATGAGAGTTTCTGCTGAAAAATCACCCAAAACATACTGCATATGTTCGCAAAGACTGGATGCAAAAGCAAAAATTTGCTATTTTGAAATGACCTCCACAAACCGCGGACATGAATCTCATCGAGATTTTGCGAAATCAACTAAAAGCACAGCTTAATAAGTATCAAAGTCCGTAAAATCGAGTACATGACCTGTGAAAGCAAACTAAGGATATACCTCCAGAATTTTTACAAAGATACAAATAAGGTATGCCAAATCACATCCAGGAACTGAAACAGGCAAAAGAGTACTGAACATTGTGTTAGTAGTTCTTTTTTTCGTGAAAATTGTTAAAAAGCTCTTAAAAATATATGAGTGCAAAACTGTAACATCTGCCTTAATTTACATTTTTGTCTGCTGGTTTTTTTATTGTTGTTGTATTGACTTCAAATCATTATGAGAGAGGGAGTAGGGATGTACCAACAAGAATATACAGCAAAAGTATGAAAGTCGTTAGAACTTGGAAAGATAGTGGTGGCTGAAATAAAAAGTGTCACACCATGTTACAGTTTTGCTCGTCACTGTAAGTCTGGCGTTCATAATGCTGCGGTTTAGATGACCCTTGGCTGATTTAACTGCGGCTTCCCAAATGCCGCTAAAATGAGGTACTCTGGGAGGAATAAAATGAAAATTCTCAAATTCATTAGTACAATAGTTGGTGATGACATTTTGGTTCTCTTTCTTGAAAAGCAATGCTTTCAATTCCGCAAGTTTGCTGCAAGCGCCGATAAATTTGGTTGCATTGTCGCAGAAGATGTCTGCGGAAGGCCTCTCATCCCAATCATTCGCTTTAGTGAAGCTAAAAATGCATCCATGGTTAAGTCAGAGACGACTTCGATGTGTACTGCCTTTGTAGCAAAGCACACGAAGATGGCGATATAGGCTTTATAGGGAACATTGCCCCTAATGCGAAGGTAAACGCTAATCGGTCCACAATAATCGATGCCGCAGCGGGAGAACGGGAGCGATGGTGTCAAGCGCTCAATAGGAAGATTGCCCAACATGTGTTGGAGTAGTTTTGGCTTGTATCGAATGCAATGAATACATGATCTGAAGATGCGTCTAGAAATATCGCGTGCATTAACTCCCCAAAACTGAAGACGAATTAAAGCCACCAGCGCCTTCGGGCCGGCGTGATAGTTTTTGATGTGTAGATGTCGAACAAATCGCGTGACGAATTCACATTTGCTAGGTAACAAAATAGGGTGCTTTCTGGAAGATCTGCCAATTCAAGTCGTTCGCCGACTTTCAACAGTTCAAAGTCATGAGTAGACTCCAAGAAAGGGTTTGAATTATGTAGCATGCTATTTATTGTTAATTAGAAAACATGGGTTTAATTTTTGTAAAGAGTCGGGGAAGTAGTAACGCACCGCAAAGCTTCAGCTTTGGTAGGGACTGTCGTTTGGTTGGGGCCACACATGATTTTGCCGTGAGAAGGCGAACGCGAACATTACCAGTATTGTCTACGATGCGTATATATATTCCGCAGCCATAACCACGAATCGATGAATCACAAAATCCATGTATTTGCAACGACTGCATGTTATCAGATAAACAGTACCTTGGAACTTCTGCGGTAGGATCCGAAAGGTCGTTGACAAAGGTTTGCCAAGCTGACTGGATGGTTTGCGGAGCCGATTCATCCCATTCGAGTCTCAGCAACCACAGCTTCTGAAGCAGAATTTTAGCTAGGAGGCCAATAGGGTCGAAGAGCGATGATGCGATGTCCTTGTCCTTTTTGTAACACGACCGTTTAGTGGCTGCTTTAATAGAAAAGAAAATAGAAAATTAGCGTGAATCTGATCCCATTTAAGACCAAGGTGACAGAGTTTGTCGAGATTCAAATCACTGTCAGTGTGTTCGCCTCTGCACCGCTGGTGGTTACAGTTCCATTTTACCAGCTCAAGTCCACCTAATTTCAGTAATTATGTTACCTCATATTTGATGCGTGATAGCTCTGCAAGCGAGTCAGCACCACAGAGCAAATCGTCAACGTAGACCGCGTTGAGCTGAAAGGTGAATATCTTGATGAGGCGAACTCCTCCACAAAATATACTGGAATCTGCGATATTCCTCACTGACTAGCCTATACATTTTCACGCTTTGGATAGTAGGTCCGACTATTTGGATGTCGTTTATCGATTTCTGCATAGTTTTTCGACAAGATGCGTCGAAGAAAACTCTTAGCTTCGTGGTTGTGCTATTCGGCTTCAAAACGCAATAGTGGGGGATAAAGTACTGAGATTCGTTCAATTCCGGGTTGGGCACTGCTTGCATATGGCCTAGACTCTCATACTCATCCATTAATGCGACGTACTGTGTCCTGAGGATAGGGGACCGTTGTAACCGACGTTCTAGCGCATTAAATCCTCGCAAGGCTGTAGTGTATAATTCACCTAAGCAGGCCGGATCGTCTTTGAACGGAATTTTTACTATAAGCCGACCATTGGCGCTCCGAGGAACGGTGACATTATATAGTTTTTCGCAGCTGTGTTGCTCACGAGTCCACACGTCAGACTTTGTTTCAACTTCTTCAATCTGGAATAACTTTTCCAACCTTGAATCTATAGAATCCTTACAGGCAAGCAAGTATTTGGTATTTAGAGCATTAGAGTTCGGACGATAGCGTCCAGAAACGGCCCAGCCCAGCAGGCTTTTCTGTAAAATAGGAAGGTTATTACCAAATTTAATTTGTCCTACAGAAAGCAAACTGAAGAAGCTCTCTGTACCCAAAAGCAGGTCGATTTTCTTAGATTTGTGGAATTGATCATCCGCAAGCACAATATTTGATGGTATATGCCATGACGATATATCTATCTCCAGTTCCGGTTGATAGGCGATATGTGACGTAATGCAAAAAGTAAGCGGTAGCTCAAACCCTGTCGTTTGCGACTTGATATTAATAGAAGTCTTATACTTGATATTAGTGGAAGACTCACCAATACTTTGGATCTCGATGTTGTGTTTGCTGCGTGGAAGCATCAGTTTCTGCGAAAGCTCATTAGTAATGAAATTTACCTGTGAGCAGGAATCTAGCAAAGCTCGGCCAAGATGATAATTTCCTCAGGCGTCGCGAACCAAAACCATAGCAGTTGCGAGAACAATGTGGTCCGACAATGAGTTGTTCATGTGTGTGTGAACGGCGGATGTCGAAGTAGAGTTCGACGATTTTAATTCTAAATTCATATGAACCAGTCTAGCGCTCAACTGATGATATCATATCCCTGCATATGCGAGTTGCTAATTTCTAAACTTCCTAGGAAGACGGTCAACTGATCGATTAATATCCCTGCATACGCAAGTTGCCCATTTCTAAACTTCCTAGGAAGATGCTCAACTGATCAATTCATATTTCTGCATACGCGAGTCAGACATGCAAACAACTGATAAACTGATATTCCCAGGTTTGCAATTTTGTAAGATATGAATTTCGTAGGACATCGGCCGTGTTAAAATTCATCAAAGAATTCAGTAGTTAGGCCCCCACTTTTGCTATTACAGATTCATTTCCTAGCTATTACCTTTTGCTACTGGGAGGCAGTTAATTAGCGAGCAGCAGCGAAGCAGAGCAGCGTTTGCGTAGCGACGAAGGAAGTGTGCAAATGAAGTGTGGTTGCTCAGCGTTGAACCGAGCGACGGTATCGCCGGCAGCGGAATTGCAGAGTAGCGGGCGCAAAGTGCAAAGCAGCGATGTACAACTGTTTTAGCTCCAACGGCAAAGTTGTACTGTTACTTGCACTTGATCCAATGACTTTTCTCCAATCTTGTACAATTTTGCGAACAAATGGGACTGCTATGATGTCCAACGGTGGTAGCCAACGGTGCGGTCCTCCAGCGATGATGATGAAGTTGATGGTGCGCGAGCCAAATGATGACCACCAAGAGCGAGACACGAAAAGTTACTTTTAATATAGACACGTTAAAACTTTATTACACTAAAATAATTTTAACACGATAAATTAGATTTCAACGCGAGCAATAATCTGAATTTAAAAGCACTGCCCCACGTTGGGCGCCGAAATGCAGGGTAAGGGAGGGCTTTTCCAAACTGCGATCCAAAATAAATGATAGCTAAAAGAATTTAACTTTGAAAATTGGGCTGTGCAATTAAATCTATGCCAAATACAACCAACTGAAAATCTTACGAAAGTAAACACGACGCCTTGGTGGTAAACAGTAGACTAATTTATTTAATTTTCTCAAAAATGCAATTCAGTGCAATAATTCAAGTTATGTTAGGTAGTGGATGTATGTACGTATGTTAATATGTATGCACATTAGCGTGGCCCGAAAATCCGCTTTTTTAGGATTTCGATTGGTAATAGGTAAAATAGGGTTCATTATGCTCTAAAAAATATCTGTGCGAAGTGTGAAAATGTTTGGTCAATATCCTAGGCTCGCCCATGTCCATCAAAGTTCAAGTACTAAACAATTTTTTTTCTTTGCTAACTTCGATTCTCTACAAAAAAGGTCTATATACCAAATTATGTAGGACAAATATTTTAGAAGATTATTGCAATTTTATTAAAAAAATTTATTAATTTTTATTTTTTGAGCATATTGAACTTTGATGGAGTTGGGCGAGCTTAGGATATTGACCAAAAATTTCCAAATTTCACACAGATTTTTTTTAAAGCATAATGAATTATGTTTTTGCTATTACTAATCAAAATTCTAAAAAAGCGGATTTTCGGCCCACGCTAATGCACATACGAAAGAGTGATACAGCAAAATGACAAATGTGTATATACAAATTAGTTATGTAGGAGCATCAAGGTTAGGTTTTAGTATATACATTTATATGTCTGTTTGTACAATTGAGTGCATGCTCTTATATTACAAATATAAAATGCGACATTTACACGATTACATTATGAAGTAAGTAAGTGTTTAGATGTTCTTGACCTACGTCAACTTGCAGCGTGTGTCGTTAGGTGACACAACACCTCTTATTTTCAAAACGGGTGCCAGAGCCTACGGCTCTTTGCTTAACAAAGTGCGGCTCTTTTTACTTTCGCTCTGCTAAAAACATTTTAGCTTTTTCCTACTTTTTAAAATACATATTTCTTTGCCGGACATTATTTTCCATTGTGTTTTCTTTTTTATTTTATTCTTCTTATATACACATAGGCAAATTGAGATCGGAACATTACCCGCAATAGGAGAATGAAAATTAGCTTTCTGACTTAATGTTCTTTACCGAAATGAAGGAAGATGTGAAAAACTTGAATTTGTCAATGTTATTGTGGCTTATTAACATTATATTTTTAATATTTTTATTGAGCTTCGTATCACGAATGTTTATTAGGAAAAATTGAAAATAAACAATCGTGGTACAAAGCTCAATAAATTTGTCTCTACAAGGAGAGAATAAAACGGTTTTTGATTTGTCGAAAATTATTTTAAATTTTGAAGCTGAACTACGCCTTTTTATTCATGATCTCAAAAAAAAAATATTTCGTCATTTTCCTTGGCTAGAAAAATATATTGCACATGATTTAAAAGCAGATTTTGAAAAAAGATTTGCCGATTTGAAATTATTTATATGTACGTTTGCATACTCCATAAACCCTATTTTATGTAACATAATTGAGGAAGAATTTACAATATCCGAAATACTCCTTTTTAAGAAAAGCGGAAGGCTAGAGTTTTTGAAATTAAAAGAGATAAGGCTCTGGAAATGTAAAATAAAGCTTCGCCAATGTACCATTGTGCCATTGTACCAGATTGAAAATATCCGCTGTTGCAAACAGCTGGGTGGCGCATATTTTCAATTTTTGGTACAACGTATAACTGTGAGTCTTTGTAGGTACTCTACAATGAAATTCTTAAAGTCAAATACCGTTTACAATTAGTTGCATTCGCGTACCTGATAATTATTGAAAGTTATAAAAACTATCAGCTTTTGGTGTTCGCGAATGCTAAAAACTTGCAAGGTAGGGGAAATTGAGCGAGCAAAATGACATTTCATTTTGAAGGAAAGCTGCTAGTTTCTGCTTCAAAAATTTTTGCCAACAAGAAAACCGCTGATCAAAAACTGCTAGTTGGAATTTACGCAAATCCCTAAATTGAATTTTATGGTGCGGAAGTTGATAAAATGCGGCTAATTAAACTTGTAAGAAGTAAGTAATTATTCGTGTAGTGAGTGAACTGTGTCAGGATAAGACTTCGGGCTTTTGTTTTCTTACGTTTTCAATTTTATACTTTGAATGTAAACAAAATTTATATAAGTTGTTCCTCTAACTTGCAAGTTTCTGTAAATTTTCTGTTCGCATACTATTTGGAATATTTTTCTCATGTGAGAGAACAGATGACATTTTGTCGGAATTTTTCTGTTGGACATTTTTTTACTGGAGATTTTGAACGAACCTACCTATTGACTAACCAACATTTAACAGAAATTTTACGAACGGCTTTAACTGACGTAAAATCAGAGTGTGTAAATTTGTCCAAGGGATCTTTTGAATTTTTTTTAATATCTATCTTACGTACATTAGAATAAAAATAAAATTAATATTTTTCATTTCTAACAATAATTTGATTTAAAAATAAAACTTTAGTTTTTGTTGTTTTTTTTTGTGGTGCTTTGAAGCATTTATATGTTCAATGCCCCAAAACTTATACTTTTTTGGTAAATTGTATTAATTCCATTGCAGTTAAAAAAACCATATCTCTAAAAAAATATTTCGTTACGCCATTTATTTAACTCTATTCATCTGAGTGCCCATGGTAAATCAAAGCTTGTTTTTAAACAAATATTTTTTTTTTCATTATTTTATTTATACTTTAACTGCTTGCTTTGTAGATTTTGAAACGTTTTATCATGTCCCGCCCGTAACAGTAATTTATTGAAGTGAAACTTCTTAGGCGGCGGTATCGCAAAAATGGAGAGTGAAATTTTTAAAACTGAAAACATTACATGAGTGAGAAGGAAGATATAGGTAGTATAGGGAAGGGAAAAAATAAATAAAGCGACGCATGACGGGTACGAGTACCTACATATATATGTATATATGTATGTTTGAATGCACGTATGTATGCATGCATACATATATATATGTATGTATATATATATATATGCATGTATGAACGAACTCATTGCGCATGTCAGCTCTGCCGCTACCAAGCAATCTTACTAATATTATAAATGTGAAACTTTGTATGTTTGGATGTTTGGGAAATCATCACGCGGAAACGACTGAACGGATTTGCATGAAATTTTGTACGCTGATAGCTTATGGGCCAGATTGGTTAATAGGCTATTTTTTTTTATGAGTTGCCACCTGTTAAAAAAGTTTAATACATTTAATATGCGGGAACGACAGAATGGATTTGCATGAAAATTTGCACACACATAGCTTATGACCTAGATTGGGAAATAGGCTACTTTTCTTAAGAGTTGCCACATGTTAAAAAAGTTTCATTAAATTAATACGCGGAAACGACTGAATGGATTTGCATGAAATTTTGCAAGCCACTAGCTTATGACCTACAGTGGAAAATAGGCTAAGTTTTTGTAAGAGTTGCCACCTGTTAAAAAAGTTTTACTTAAATTAATACGCGGAAAAGACTGAACAGATTTGCATGACATTTCGCACAGATAGCTTATGACGTATGTTGGAAAATGGGCTACTATTTTAAGAGTTATCACGTATTAGGAAAGATTAATTAAATTAATACGCGTAAATGACTGAACTGATTTGCATGAAAGTTTGCACACAGATAGCTTATGACCTAGACTGGAAAATAGGCTACTTTTTTAAGAATTGCCACCTGTTTGAAAATGAAATTTTGCTCAAAGATAGTTTATGACCTGGATTGAAAAATAGGCTACTTCCTTAACCGGTTTTCCGATCAGAACGAAATTTAGTACACTTACTACGGATTTCGGAAGGATGGTCTTAGACTGAAAGTAAGTCCGGCAACTTAAGGCCCCTCCCATACAAACTGGAATTTTCATATTACATACATATCTCTGGAAGTATTTT